GCGTGTGGCCAGTGCCACAGGCTGTCCCCTGTGTGTCACACACCCCACCCTGGGCACACACCTGCACGGGAACCAGCTGCAGCGCCCAGCTGTTCCCCCACACCCCACACAACAGCTGGGACCCCACACAACAGCTGGGACCCCACACAACAGCTGGGACCCCACACAACAGCTGGGTACCCCACACAACATCTGGCACCCCACACAACATCTGGCACCCCACACAACAGCTGGCACCCCACACAACAGCCGGGCTGCAGTGGGGCTGTGCTGAACCCAACACAGGGAGAGCCTGGCAGGGATGGACAGACCCTGCCTGCCCAGGCGTGCAGCTCATCCCGGCCCTGCTGGGCTTCCCCGAGTTCTGCAAACCAGAAAACTGCAAAGGTGACAAAGGGAACCTGGCCACTGGTGTCACACAGCCCTGCTCTCATCGTGGCAGGGTCCTGTCGGGCTCACCAGACACCACGTGTGCTCAGGAACTCTGCACAAATGCCAAGTCCCTGTGCACAAACAGCCTGTAAAGTATGATGGTCCCCAGGAACAGCAGAGAATCCCTCACTGTCCCCCTACAGAGCTCCCAGCAGAGCCAATCCATCACCTGTCAGAAGTGCCCCTGGCCAGCCACAGCCCCATCCCGCCCTGAGGACACATCCTAGGGACCAAGGATGGGATTTGGGAGGAGCCCCCAGGCACATCCAGAGCTCCCAGAGCGCAGCAGGGCGCGGGGAGCAGAGTCTCTCCCTGCAGCCCATGCCACAGGCCAGCCTGGCCCCGCAGCAGGGCTGAGGACTCACTGCCCACTCTTCCCAAGCCCGCTCCAGGGCTGTGAGGGGCGGCAGAGGATGCTCGGGGCACCCGCACGGCCGTGGCCAGCCCTCACAGCCAGCCTGGCCACGCCGCGGCCGTGCCCAAGGGAGCCGTGCGAGCCCAGGAAGGGCCACTTACGGACGCGCAGCGCAGCACGGTCAGGAGCAGCTCATCTCCGGCCTCCCTGCAATGGACACAGGCGGTCAGCCAGGGCCCCCGCCCCTCCGGCCGGCCGGGCACGGGCACAGCGCACACCTGATGATGCTGGCTGCCCGCTCCACGGACACGCTGTCCACGCTGCTGGAGTTGATGGCGAGGAGCTGGTCCCCCGGCTGCAGCTTCCCCTCGGCCGTGCTCCCTGCGGGACCAGCACAGCGTGAGCCCCCCACTCGGCCCCACAGCAGCTTGCAGATGGAAAAGCCCTCCCAGATGATGAAGTCCATCCATTAATCCCACACTCCCAGGCCCACCACTGACTAATGTCCCCAAGTGCCACACCTGCACTAGGGATGTCCAGAGACTCTCAATGGCAGCTCCTCCTCCCTCCCAGCACCTGCCTCCCTCAACAACCACATCTGGATGGCAAAATAAAAGGGGCTGAAGGACTCTGGGTGCTGACACCACCTGGTGTGTCCCTGCCTGTGTCCTTGCCCCACCCGAGCTTCCCCCTGCCCCATGGAAAACCCTCCAGCATATGCCTGTCCCCTTGCCACAGCCCACCACACTCCACTGGGAGCCAAACATGGGCCATGTACCCGTGGGCTCCCATCAGCAAAGCACTGGGTCAGAAGGGCAGGGGTTTTTGTGCCTCAGCTTTGGTAAAATGTTCATCTTTTCTGATTCGGAGGAAAGAGAAGCACAGCAGAAAAAAACCCTCCTCTTACGCCCCACAACTCTCAGATAATTTCACTGTGTTTCACATGGGAAGGGGTATAAAGGGAAGTGGGAGGTGACAGAGGGTACATGCCCTGGGCCCAGAGCCCCAGCCATCTCCAAACAGGGCTGCCACACTCACATCAACAGGTAAAAACCACGTGGGTTTGTGCACCCATTAAAAAAATAAAATATAAATAAGAAACAGAATCAGAGTTTTTGAGTTACACCCCTCCCTTCTATAGCTAGAAGAGATCAGAGGAGTTGATCTGCTTGATTTCAGCACTGCCTGCACCCAGCAGCAAACCTCTCTGTGTTACAGGGTCTGTTCAGCAACAGATCACCACAGCCACAGAGGAATAAGATGAAGTTCTCCAAGATAAGATTAAATTCTTCCTCTGCATTTCAGATAAAACACCAGAAGAGGCTTTGCTTTGAGCAGCTCTGTGATTCAGGAAGGTCACTCAGGTGTGTGAGCCAGCACAGGTGAAGGGCCCCTGTGGATCTGGCCTTGGCTCCAGCCTGTGGGACCTGGGGCATGTCCCAGCGCTCTGTGTGCCACAGGCACCGGGGCTTCTGCTGCCGTGCTCGGGGCTCACACGCCAAACCCACCTCAGAACCCACCAACCCCCGCCAGGAGCTTATCCCTAACACCAGCTGCCACCGTGCTGGGCTCCCCGTGCCTCGGGGGAGGACACACCTGCAGTGACCGATGCGATGGTCAGGGGAAGGCCTGGGCAGATCTCGAAGCCGTAGTGCTGCAGGACCAGGTCCTTGTAGACGGTGACGGTCACTTTGACCCGGCTGGGGGGCTGGGCTGCGCTGTCCCCGGCACTGTCCATCACAGGCACGCTGTCCCTGCGGATCAGAGAGAGGATTAAACACGATACAACCAGAGACAGTCTGTCCAAGGGCCCGGATCCGCACGGCTCCCCGCTCTCGAGGGGCTGCGGCGCTGCCTCCTGCGCCCGGCTCTGCAGCCAGCAGCGACTCCCTGGGCTCTGCAGGAAGCTGAGGACATCAGCCTGGCTGTGACCACAACTTCCCAGTCATCCCAGCCCAGTGGTCACACGGAAGGAGAGGCCGAGGTGTGCCCCACCACAAGCCATGACCTCCATCCCCAGGGAACAGCAGCACCTGCAGCCAGGAGGCAGCGAGAGAACGCACAGCTCTCGGCATCTGCTGGGATCCACTCCACCTTACGGATGTCCACTCTATGTCCACTCTATGTCCACTCTATGTCCACTCTATGTCCACCCTAACGTCGACTCTCAGAGCTCAGGGAAGGAAAGCAGCTGTGGATCCCTGGTAAATGCTACCTAGTCTTGCCCAAAAATGTGGGCCCACAAGGAGAAGCATGACCCCATCTTCAAGAAGTGCAAGTTTTACATGGAGCAATGCTGTATTTCTTCCTCACCCAGCCACAGCAGAGCAAGGCAGGGACACCTGCCCCTGGAAGCCAAGGGGGTTGCTTAAAAACACTGTTGCTTTTCTTTTTCTGTGTGCATGTTTCCCAAGAGCAGCAGAAAGAATGAGTAAGATCTGCAGCCCCTGTTGACTGGGAGCAGCCTCGAGGTGTCTCTGATCAAAGGCGACCGTAGCTGTTCCTTCCACAAACACCACACTTACCTGGGTGCGCTGTCCCGAGAGCGATGAAGCCATTTTGCTACCATTTGCTCTATTCTACATGTTTTTCGTGTATGGATTAAGCTAGTCTCCAAATCTCCCATTTACCTGGAAGTGACAGAAATCACAGGAAGACAGAATGACACTGACTGAGGAATTCTTCTGGACAGCTTTCAGAGTTACCAAATTTGCACAATTTGCAACAACCCATTTGCAATACAAGGAGATCTGCTGGCACCTTGTGCAGACCAGAGCTCCAACAGGGGGTGACACCTGAGGGTGACACTCCTGGAACCCCCTGCCCACCCAGCCTCCTCTGCTCGGTGCTTGTGGTCATCCGTGTCATGGCCACGCTGCGCTACCCTTCCATGGCAGGGACCTCTGCATTCCTTTTCCATGGATTTCATGGATCCATGGGCTTCTTTCGGAGGTGGTGGTAATTGCACACCCTAACAGTGTGCCTTGCAAGGCACTGCAGCCATGCTCCTCTGCCAATAGTCTGAGCTCTAACCCTGGGAAGAACCGTGGGCTGTGACAGAACCTAACACAAAATGAAACAAATTATTCCTGCATCCGCCACAAGTGGTGAAGAATATCAGCTGTTTGTATTTCAAACCCAAAACTGTTATATCCACCTTTCACAGTGTGCCTTCTGACCAGCCTAGGAGTTCTGTACGTCCTGACCTCCTCCCTCGTGTCTTCTGCTGGGACTGGGAGTTCTGTGCCTCAGGGACCTGCTCTGTCATACTGGGACAGCGGGCTGCTGCTCCATGGCAGAGGTGGTGCTGTAACAGAAATACCAGTAAGTTACCTTGTGAACAGCAGAGATGGCTGGAAACTCACAGAAATGAGGCACAGAAAACTGAGTCTCAACAAAACCTGGACCTGTTCCTCTCAGCACCTTTCCAGGCAGCAGCACTCCCCCAGCTCACATTTTCTAGCCAAGAAGGGAGGGCAGGACTCGCATGGCGAGCTCCTCACAGGAAACCACTCCTGCCTGTTGTGCTCCCTGCCTGTTCAGCTCTGGGCAGAATATGGATGAAATTCAGTCCTTCAGCAGCTCTGGCACTAGGAACCCTCATCCTCGTACAACACATTCAGCTTGCTCCTCCAGCGTGGCTGGAGGCTCCTGAGAGGCTCCTCTGAACCACAAATGGGGATCTGGTGATCCAGTGGTGCTTCCAGAAATCAGAGCCGATAGGATGGGAGATCTGACCCCTCCTCAGGGGTGACCAGGAGGTGACCACAGAAGGAGCAGACACCCAGCAGCTCTGCAGCCCGGAACACAGATGCAGGATCTCTCCAAGCAGCCTGAGCAGACACAGCTCCTGCTGGTGTGTCCCCTCAGCCCTTGTTCCACCACCTGTAACGCTCATGTGGCAGCAGCTGCAGCTGCCCTCTGCCTCTGCCTCACCTCTCCACTCAAAAGAGCTCTGGCTCTCTCACTCTGCCCCAAACACCCCAACGCTCCCTCTGAGCCACGGGGACCGTGGTGCCTGCAGGGGTTCCTGTGTTGGGGTGCCTGCAGCTGCTGATGTGCCTGCTCAGTCCTCCTCAGGCGCTTCCTCAGCAGCTCCATTTGCAGCTCCACCCCTCACCCCTCGCTGCTCTGCAGAAAGGACAGACTTTTCTATCTGGGCTTCACAAAACAGAACTTCCAGAGAAAGTCTCTTAACCTGTAGGACAAGGAGGAAAAGTCTGAACAATGAACACAAATATTTAAAACCCTCAGATGGAACGTTAAGGAAAGAAAACATGCTGTTCTTTCAGGAACCTGGAGTGTTTGGGCCAAACAACAGGTGTCTAGAGGAGATAGCTTGGCAGGTATTTCCCTGAAACAATGCACAGCAGCAGGAGCAGCCCCATTCCCCACAGCATCCTCGGGGCACACAGAGCATGCTGAGCAGGACAGGGTCACCAGGATCACTCACCTGGCACACAGAGCTGGCACCTCTCCCCATCCTGGGATGTCCCACAGCTCCCAGCTGCCCTTCTGCAGCTGTTTCTGAGCTAAGCCCCACACCACTGAGCTGGGATCCTGATACACAGAGATCTTGCAGCTCAGTCAGAGGGAACTGCGACTCCACAGGGATTTTCATGGCCTCCTCACCCTTGTGAAGACCAACACCTCAGTATCTGGACTGAAACCCGGCTGGGTGGCTCTGGGTCTTCAGGAGCAATGCCAGCCTGAAGGTCAGTGCTCACACCAGAGCATGCAGACACCTGGCAGTGGTGTCAGGGCATGCACAGCACAGACCTGACCAGCAAGGAAAAACCAAACCCACTGTCAAGGAGAGTACTTCAGTCTCTCATGGAAAGTGTTCATTCATCAAACAGAAAGGTTTTGATGGGCAGAAGTTTTTCTGGTACTTTTGGTACTTGATGTTTTTTTGAAGGTGTTAGCTCCCAGCAGAGCATGGCAGCAGGAGCAGCAGAGGGGAGCAGCAGCTCTCCTGTACCTGCTGACAGGGAAACACCTGAGCAGATGTTGCCATAAGCTGCTGTGGAACCCTGGATGCTGTCCACTTCACCCACAGGGGCTCTTGGAAGCATCTTTGCAAGTACTTCTGGTAATGGATGTCCATCAGCAGTGATGGGCTCTGCTGAGGGAGGGACAGATCAGGAGCAGCCCTGGGAGGAGTTCTGTGGGTGCTGGTGGCTGAGAACTCACCCTGCCCTGGCCCCAGCGTGGGCAGCAGGGGAGGGGGATTCTGTTCCTCTGCCCTGCTCAGGTGAGACCCCACCTGCAGAGCTGCCTCTGCACCTGACACCCAGCACAGGAAGGATGTGGAGCTGTGGAAGCCAGTCCACAAACATAACCAAAGGTCTGGAACACCTCTGCTACAAGGAAAGCTGACAGAGCTGGAATTGTTCAGCCTGGAGGAGAGAGGGCTTTGGGGAGACCTTAGAGCCCCTTCCAGCACCTAAAGGGAACTTACATGAAAGATGGGGTCAGATTTTTAGCAGTGCCTGTAATGACAGGACAAGGGATGATGAGTTTAAAGTAAAAGCAGCAGACTGAGACTACATATAAGCAAAAAACAGCTCACAGTGAGCATGGGGATGCCCCTGGCTCAGGGTGCCCAGAGCAGCTGTGGCTGCCCCTGGATCTCTGGCAGTGCCCAAGGCTGGACACTGGGTCTGGGAGCAGACTGGGACAGTGGAAGGTGTCCCTGCCATAGCAGAGGGTTGGATTAGATGGCCTTTACAGGTCCCTACCATCCCAAACCATGCTGTGGTTCCATGATTGCACCTCTTGTGTCTCTGGTGGCACAGCCTCACACTGTGCAGCTCCAAGATGAGGCAGGGCTGGTCCCTGCCCAGCCCACCCCAGCCCACCAGGTATGATCTGCTCCTGCCCTGAGGGTCAGCACACCCCCAGGCAGGGAGAAGAAAACTGAGCTTGTTCTTGACAAACGTGGCTCTGAGCTGCACCAGAAGACTCTCCTGGCACGACTGAGAGTCTCTGCAGCAAAGGTTTTGAAGGTCAGCCAGTTCTGGTGAGACATGAGGACAGAACAGTAACTCACCTATTTTCCACACAGCTTCTAAAGATGTTCTTGGAGATACAGCCAGGGAAACAGCTGAGCCCAAGGACCAGGGTTAAAGCTCCTGTGGCACTCTGTGCTCCCACCACACTGGCTGTGCATGTACAAAGAACAAAATTCTGGGAAAAAGAAAATTAAAAAAAAGGAAACACAAAAAAAAAACCCCAACAGTGTGGCCATCTTGTCTCATAAGCCTGTGATATCTGGCTGGGTTTTGAGGAGATGAGCTGCACTCACAGGGCCAGCCCCAAGTGCCAGACACACATCGCTGCTGCACCAGGGTCACGGCACAGCTGGGGACAAGCTGGCCTAGGAGGGTCCAGAACAGAGCCCTCCCTCTGGCCAGAGTGCTGTGTGTGCCTGCTGCACAGGAAACACTGCCACAGCCCTGTGTGACACTGTGTGACGCTGTGTGACACTGCCAGGCATCACTAATGGCACTGAGGTCCCTGCAGACCAGTTTATCCCCCCTCCCTCAGGTCAGCTCCCATCTGATCACTGCCAGGGCCTGAGGCCGAGCTGCTACTGCACCACTGGGTGGCCAAGCTGCTCCTCTGGCTTTCCCTGGCTCACAAGGAGAACCTGTGCCGTGCTCAAAACCTGTGATGTTCACTACTCCTGTGTAATACTGGGCAAAGAATACTCACCAGCATCACAGCCCCCAGAAAAAAAAATCATTAAAAAAAGCACAGTTGCTTTTTAACACTATTTGAGACCCAGGTTTTTGCCTATAAACAGACACTACCAGGAAAAAAACAAACCAAAGAAACCCAAAAAACAAAAACAAACCAGAAAAAAACCCAACAAAAAAAACCAAAACAAGCAAACAAATCCCACAATTAAAAAAAAAAATAAAAAACCCCACACAAACAAAAAGAAGCACAAAATCAAAACCAACCAACAACCACCCACATGCTCCATCCAGCTGCTGTAAAACAAGAACTGTCAGAGAGAGAATTTGGCCCTTGTCAGCCCAGGGAAGGCAGGAGAGATTCTGCACCTGCACATCACCACTCTCCTCTCTCAGCTGACAGTGGTGAAGTTTTACACAGACACACTCTGGCTCCCAAGGAGCAGGATTAGATTTAAAACATGAGTTTCTGGGCATGCAAAGACTTCAGGCGCCAAACAAAAAATGTTTTCAGCAAAGGCCGCACATCCCCGGCTGGTTGGGGCACGAGGGGAGAAGCAAGAATAGCTTTGTGCGTGGTGCATTACACACAAACTGAAGGAAATGATAAACAGAACATTCAAGGTGGAAAGGAGGAAAATCAATACTTCCCTCTTGAATAGCTTTCTCTCCTAAAAATAGACTGGTGTGGAAGTGTGTGAAGACTTTCCTCCCTCCAGCTCCGTCTCCCTGGACAAGAGCTGCCGGCACAGAAGGAATGTTTCCTTCTGCTTCCCTGACTTACAGCTCCTTTTCAGGGGGAAGAAAAGAGCTGCCTCCCAGCCTGTGCATGGACCCTCCTCCCCATCCCCTGCACACACAAACCCAGAGTCAAGCAGCTCGCCCTCTGAGCAGCACTGTCATGTCACTGGCAAACTGCACAACAGGGGCGAAAACAGCAACAAAACCACCCAAAAAAGGTTCTGTGCAGAGCTCCACATATTGTCACTGATCTCTGTGTCCTGCCGCAGGTCTGGAACCAGCCAAAGTGCCTGTGGAGCTCAGCACTCTGGAGGATGCCCATGGCCTTCCCGGGACTCTCCACAGAGGGAAAAACTCAAGTTCAGGGCAGGCACCTCAGCAGGTTCCTCCACATCTGCCAGGTGAGGTGAGCTTGACATGTGCTGGGAAACAAATTTGGCATGCCAAATCTGGGCAAATGTCAGGAAAGGAAGAACAAGACTAAAGGGAGAATCCCTGCACTTTGGAAATGTTGATTCAGGAATGTCGTGCCACATACAGAGCCATATCAGAGGAGCCCAGAGCTTCTCTCCAGCTCTAGAAAGACAGGCTTTCCACAGGGACAGAGAGCCCAGAGCACTGAACAGCATTAAGCAGCTGTTTGACGGCAGATTGCTCAGCAAGAATTTAGAGGGTAATTCACTAAACCTTACAGGAGTGAAACCCAGGATAAATTTCACAGCCACACATGTGGAAACCTGTGCCATTTGCCTGCTCCTGATGGCTGAACCGGGGAGGCAGAGGGATCCCAGGCTGAGCAGAGGATTTGCCATGTCCCTGCTATCCCTCACTGCCCTTGCCTTGCCCTTCCCAGCCAGTCTGGCCCCAGAGGTTTCTCATCGGTCTGGCCAGGTCAGTTCACAGATGGGGGAAACCAGGAGAGTGTCTCTCTAGCCAGTGTCAGCTGGAATTGAAGAAGGGAGAATTAAATGCTGCCTACAGACTTGCAGAATTATTTTCTTTTCCAGCTTGGATTTTTCTCAGCTTTCCAAACACCTGTCTCTCTGCCTTGCTGCGGAGAAACCCACATGGGAGCAAGAACAGAAGCACAGAAAGAGATAAAGTGAAGGAAATGGTTCACTGAGGGCTTCCTATGCTACATGATTGTCATTTCCATCTCTAAATCTGCAGAACCTCCTGGGCCAGCAAGCCTGCTCTTCTGGAGCAGGAACTCCATGTCTCATGGAGATCTAATGTTTCCCATTTTGGAGCCCCTTTAGACCACTCAGACTTATCTCACACATCCCACCAGCAGCTTAGGTCTCACACAAACCTGCCTGGAAGGAGAAACTTCAGGAAGCTTCCCAGGGCTGGAGCAAACACACCTGCAACAAGGAGCCACAAGATGCTGTGAGACTGACAGTAAAAACACGCGATGCTTGTGAGGTGCTGCTCAGCAAACACATTCAGAACAGGTTACCTGGGCAGGAGCCGGCAGGTGAGTTTCCAGTGCTCCGAGAGCCAGGTGAGCACGCACCAATGGAGCAAACCTGAATGTTTTAGGCAGCGGTACAAACCTCAAACACCCGCCAGAGAGCAGGCACTGCCCGTGTGCTGTCCTCTGGAGCTCCGTGCCCCGGCTGCCCCGCGGGACCCTCGGGGACGGAGGTGCGCACACCGATGTCCCTGACATCCACGTGCTAAAGTCACTCTGCCTCCTGCCCCCCCCAGATCAGGCGAAAGATCTCCCACAATATTTTCCCAATTCCGCTTAAGAAGCCAAAATCATTGGCTGTGAATTCAACAGCTGAGAAATGTGGGGAGGTTTTTAGTTCGCTTATTTTTGTTAGGGGGAGCGGGGCGCACGTATACGGCTTCCTCGCACCGACAAGGAAACTAGCCCACGGAGTTTGGGGCAAGATGGGACAGAAAGCGGTAAATCATCACCCCAAGGCGCAGAGAGGGGGAACGGAGCCCGCGCCCCGAGCGGGAGATCCCCGCTGGGAGCGGGACCAGCGGCGGCACCGGCGCCTCCCGCA